CTAATGGTGTCTTCGTGCAGGGGGGCGTCAGGGCACTCACGTGGGTCGTGGTCTTCCGAGGGTTTAAAGTGGGTCTCATCCGTCGCCTACACACAGCACATGAGCATGCTGCCCATCGATCGGGAGCGCGTACCTTGCTCTTCTTGCAGGGCAACTCGTCCATGGACGACGGCGACATTCCGCCATCGAGGGGAGAGGGGGCGTCCACGGAGCGCTTCCGCTTGGCGCGGGGGCTCTCGCCCGTGGAGCAAGGGGGTTGGGAGCTAATCATCGAGGAGGCAAGCATGATGTTCCGAGATACGATTCCGGGACGGGGTAGCGGGGAACCTTGGGCGGGGGACGCCTCTTTTCAGGTCGAGAAATACGAAACTAACTGGCTTCACCCAATAGGAGTGGTGGGCGGCCTTTGGCGGAAGGTTCGTATCACGAGGTGCCTTTTTTCTATATCCTAATTTCCGTATTTATCTGCGACAGGGTCGCGGAGAGATGTCGCTTTAACAAGGTAACAGCTCCTCCTCCATGGGGATTGGCCAAAATTACTGGCATGCAGATGGGCGTGCCACGAACGGCCTGGAAAAGCAAGATCTTGGCCGAGGCCATGGCATAGCCTCTGCAGATGGGTGCATGCATGGTCATGGCACCACAATGCAGCATTGACCAGGTAGACGCCACGTCGATGGTGGTGCTCTCGGCTCACTTGTCGTCCATCGTGGCCCTCTGACCGGTCTTGCGCTCCTGCCTCTGGCACGCTCTCGGGCTCGAACGCAGCAGCTTCCCGCTCAACGCTCTCAGCCACGTGGCTTGCGGTCACGACCACTAGACTTGCACGACAATCGTCTGCACCTCCTACACTTGGCCATCGCTTGCCGCAACGCTCAACGCCCTGGGTCCAAGGTGTCCAAGCAAACCGAGCGCCGCAACAAGTCAGTGGCGCACCTCGAAGACGCCACCGCCTTGCCTCACGAGAGCATTACGGAGGCCTCTCTCGTAGATATATAAGTGCATGGTATCGCAGCAGCTCACTTCAACAACATCGCAAGGTTGACACGCATGGAACATGACGTAGTGGTACATGGAAGAATTGAACGATCTTGCCACCGAGCCGGCATCACGGCGCCACGTCGCGACTCGCGGGACGACGTCAATGTTCGAAGGATACCGTGGATGGGACTTCATACTCGAGCGCCTCGTCGTGAGCCGCTATCGTTCTATCGCTCCATCATCGATGAAAGGAAATCGCGGGCCGCGCCGGATCGCATTCTCCATCTCTCGCCCCAAGTAACATGCGACTCTTCGTGCCTGCGTCGGTGGCTGCTGCCGTCGTTGCCGCCGATTCGGCCAGCGACCTTTGCTTGGAACGCCCAGACTTGCCCAAGTGCGGCGCGTCGTGCTACAACCCGGCGCGCGCGGCGTGCTGCGGCTCCCAAGTGTACCTCTACTACCAGTGGGACCCGGCGACGAACGCGACCGGCGAGCAGCAGTGCTGCACGAACCGGCACAACGCTTCGTACGTGGCGTTTTCGTGCAATGGTACGGCCTCGGGCAATCGCACGGTGGCCAACGCAACGCGCGAAGACACGATTGTGGCTCCGACGACGCTTCCCGTCGTGGATGACAAGTACTACAGCGGCAGCGATTTCGACGACGAGCTCGACTCTTGGGACAGCGACGTTGACGACGACGGTGAAGACGTTGACGACCCCATCCTCGCGGGGGTCAATGCCCACAACGACGACGAAGCAACGCATGGCAGCAATTCCACGACCGCCCACAACAGCTCGTCGACAACGCCAACGATGCACCCAGGAACGCATACCCACTCAACGCCGCTGCCCACGACGTCCAACAGCTCTTCCAGTTCCCACGACAACGGTCACGACGACGCGGAGGTCGGTGAAGGCGAAGACGACACTGATACTGAAGTCGACGATTCCGAAGATGTCGGTGCCGACGCGGACGCTGCTGATGGCGAAGACGCTGACATCGATGCTGACACTGACAACAGCCGTGAGGCAACGGACGCACCGCGCTTGCCCGAGCCCACAGCCCACAGCAGTGGCAACCACTCGACACCCGCGCCCACAGCCCACAGCAGTGGCAACCACTCGACACCCGCGCCCACAGCCCACAGCAGTGGCAACCATTCGACGCCCGAGCCCACAGCCCCCAGCATCGGCAACCACTCCACGCGCGATGAGCCTCAATTGCTCAACACATCCGTCGAACACGAGAAGCCGACGCACGTGCCCGGCGCGGCCTTGACGCTCTCCAACTCGACCACCACCAACTCGACGCACAATGCAACGCGCACCAACCGCACGGGGAGCAACGTCAGCGACGAAAGCACGATCCAGCGGCCGTCAAGTGCCACGGGGACAGTCCAGCACTGCGCAGGTCTCCTCGCGGTGCTCTGCATCGTTGGGAGCATGCTCGTGTAGTAGCCCATGTACATCCAGCAAGGTGAAAATTCATATAAACCAATGTTTGCTTACAAAGTCCCGTTGTCGTTCTCAGGCATCATTGCCGGCGTTTTGAAGCTCGCGATCGCGAGTTCGGCCGTTGAAATCAGCGACAACAGATGGTCCATGAGGGCCTTCACGGTCGCAATGCCCTACGCTCGCATGAGCACACTGTCGTGGCGCATCCACGCGACCTCTTCGCGGAGCTCGTGCTTCTGAGCGTACTTGGCATTGGGGGGCGCGCCAGTGATGGCCTTTGTGTTGGTAAGAACAACCTCGATCGAATACGACTAGAGATAAGAGATGAGTGAGTGCCAGCGTACGCGGCACGACACCTTTTCGAGAAGGGTCCACGCAGCCACGTGCTCGGCGAGCATAGCCTCGCACGCAACCCGCTCGCTCTCATTGGCAATCGCGGCCACCAACGGACCTACAATCATCACGGATAACGCCATGCAGCAGAGGTTCGTGCTACGTGTGGCGCTGTATTTCTTGAAGATGGTTTCCATGTCCGGCGTAAAGGTCGAGAGCGCGTGCACGGCGGGGGAGAGAACGCGACGCTTGGCACGGATGAGCTTGGTGGTTTCCAGGACACGTGGCACCAAGGCCGGCACGGGGAGATCCAGTGACGACACGACGTTAACAACGGACTTGCTTGGTGGCTCATCTGCGCCGACGGTCGCCGGCGCTCGCTGGACTGGGGATGAAATCTTGGCAATAGTAGCCTTGGGCTTGGGCTTCGCCTTGGCCTTGGGCATCTCGACTGAAGCTGCTTCGACAGCCTTGGGAAGCTCAGCAACAATCTTCGGGGCTGGCTTGGCTTCGACCTTCAGAACGGGCTCGACAGTCCGGACCGGCTCGACGTCGATCGTTTTGGCTATTTCATGCGTGATCGCCTCGAGCTGGTCGGGCGTTAGTGCCGAAGCGAACGCTGTCAAAGGCTTCTTCCTGTAGACAAGATGTGATGCATTAGCTTGTGGTGTCAATGGGCGACGTACTCAGGGATGGCCACTGCTGGCGTGTCCGGTTGCCAAATGACAGTGCGTGTCCGCTTGCGCTCACCGCGCGTCGGCTTGTCCTCAAGGAGCTTGGAGCTGCGCGACTTGTAGTCTTCTACAGACTTGGCGTGGCGGTCCTTGAGCCGGTCTTTCTCGGTGCTGTCCAAGAGCCGCTGCACGATGAGCTTCTTCGCAATGCGCCCGGTTTCGTAGAAGGAGTAGCCGCGCCCATCGTCCTCGGGGCTGAGCGTGCAGAGGTGGTTCACAGACGCATCTTCGGGGTACGTGAGCAGCTCAAAGGCCTCGTCGCCAACGCGCAGGACGCTTGGCTCTGTCTTGTCGGCCGAGAACGTGAGCGAGAGGTCATCAGCCACGGAGCCGTCCTGGAGCTTGGCCAGCAGCTCGGGCGTCAGGCGGATCTTCGCCGCCCACTTGAGCGAGGCCGGGTCCGTTGCGTGATACAACGCGTACTACGCAGGTATGAGCTAGGCGGTGCTGACAGGTCGATGCACCTTGGCCGACGGCTCCATCGCGGTCGGTCGCGCTGCGTAGGATTGGCTCTTTTTTAGCCAATCCTGGCGTATCTTCGCAAATAGTGTATCATATAGCATCCACGTGGCCAGATCTCTGCAGTAGAGCTATTCTAGCTTGCATATAAGACGTTGGGTGCTTAGCGCATCGATACCGTTGGATCGCAGTGGATTCAAGCACGTGTACTGCGGTCTTTGCTGCGTGTCGGGGAGAAAGGCAACAGTAATTGTGTCTGCATTTCGTCGCGCACACGGAAATAGAGTGCACCAATTGGACCAATGGCCTGCCGGTGTATCATGGTCTTTTGACCAATCCGGAGCGGCTGACGTCGGCGGCGTTGTCAGATTTCAACCCGCACAGACACGCGACCGACGATGATGCTCCTGCGGCGAGCGGCGCGGTTCTCGACGACGGCGGTGCCACGTG